TGAAGTATATAAAAAATACTATTTATTGTTTTTTATATACTTAGCATTATTATTATTATAATTTTTTTTTTGTATTTTTAGTATTTGTTGTGTATATATTTGTTTTTATAAATTTTCGTTGCGACATTTTATTGAGGAGCAATGAAGTGTATCCAAAACTACTGATATTGGTTGGCGGCAATATATATACATATATTTCTATATATGTACGCATTTGAAATAAAATATATATAGGTATATCTACCTGGGCAGCAGTGGATGGTCTGCAACTGAACTGAAAACGATTCTGGAATAGATCAAGAAGTGCGCGCCAACATTTGAATATGGTATATCGTCTGGTAATTGTGATAAATATGTATTTATGCAAGTAACTCTTGTCAGGTTCTGGATTTTAGGTACACAAGGTAAGTAGTTTGTCAGGTTACGATGTGGAGATATATCAAAAACTAAGGGAACACAGGCTATCCATGGAGGAGCTATCAATGGTATACCATTCGACTGATCTTGATGCAATGCAATTTCGACCCATCCACCACAACCTCTATATAATACAATACAATACAAAATGGAAACGATATTGTCGAAACAAAAGAGCTGGTGAATAATGTTGAACTCTATTTAGCTTGAGTACGAGAATTTCGCTTATATTTTACGCATATATATGTTTGTTTAATTTTTGTGTTTTTTTTTTTTCTTTGTTTTTATTTTTTTTTTCGTAGGTATGTATTTGTATTTAGGGAACGCCCTTACATGCCTCGGCACAACCATAATAGATACACATATAAGTAAGTATGTAGTATAAATGTTCATCTCTCCGCGTGATTTACATAATTACTATATGTACTTCTGATCTCTCTCATTCGAATGCAAATCAAACTGTTTGCGATCTCATTCTTGAGCAAAAAGTAAGTTTTAAAGTTAGATTCTAAATTGTTAGCTGTGAATGTTTGAGATATATTTGAAGCATATTTTCTTTTTCCTATCCATTTTTTTGGTTTTACTTTTCATAATTTTTCGAATTAATGTGTTGCATATTTATTTTATTATAATTAATTTTTTTCATTTAATTTTTATTTGTACACATTCTTAATTTTTTGTTTTTGTCGGATGTTAGACCTATGTAATTTACATGCTCGATTATTATGTTTGTCATTTTTTGCGTATTCAGCATTATTTTTTTTTAGTTCCTCATACATATATAGTTATATATGTCATATATGTATATATACACACACATATGTATATGTATATATGTACATGTATGCGCATATAAATGTACTTGTACATAAGCAAAACATATACATATACATATACATAATATTATCTTTCGTTATATGCATACACATATATATAGCGATATATATCGTTATGCATATATATATACATACATATATGGATGCTCTAAACACACATTGAATATGCTTACAGTTAATATACATATACATCATATAAATTAAATGTTTTTCATTAATATTTTTAGCGTCCATTGAATTTCATTTCATAAATTTTTAATTTTTAATTTTTTTATTTGTGTATTGTATAATTTTTCAAGTTTTATTTTTTATTTATATTTTTTTTATATTTTTTTGTTGTTCCTTGTTTAATATAAATATGTATGCATTTTAATTTTTTTCCTTTTGTATATTTTATGTCATTGTGTATATATATTTTTATAAAAATTATATAATTTAAAGCTTGTTTGTTTCGTCTGAACTAAATGTAAAATTTGAATAATCACCTCTGCTCGGCCACGAGCTTCGACCGTTGCAATTTAACACATGCAGAAACAACATTTTTTTCCAATAATATTTTCTTTTGTATTTTTTTCTCTCTTTGTTAATTATTTAAACAAATGCGAGTTGCTGCTCGCCTTTGCTTGGCCAACGCAAAACATGAAACTATTTTACAAAAATTGTTCATTAAACGCGTAATGTTTTCTTACTTTTAAACTCTTAAACGAAATATGGCGCCCAACGTAAATTATGAAATAGAAAAAAAGAAAACATTTTTTTCCTTTTTTTTTTTTTTTTTTTTTTTT